TAAACTCTAAGCCCTAAACCCTAGGGGTGGTCGAGGGTCGGGTTTGGGTAAGTGTTCTAGTGTTTTTTGGGTGTTGCAAGGGCTTTTGAGCGCCGATTCAGAATGTCTTTCATACGTTTTCTTTTCAAGCACTTTTTTTTACAGAGGTTTAGTTTCATGGAGTTTGAGCAGTTAATAAGAGAGAGCACTAGTTTTTGAGCAATGTTCTCCGTAGCGTTCCCACCAATATGTCAAAAGTATGAAGCCGCTTGTTACTCCAGATATGTGTGTCTGGATGCATGTATGTATGTATGTGTATGGGCACAGGTCTAACCAGCATCTGAAAAAATATGGTCAACATGAATCCAGGCCTGAGCCCTGCGGCTCACGCCCTAAAGTACCAAACTCTATATACCCCAAACCCTAGACCTTAAACCCTAAACCCTACACCCCAAACTCTAAACCCTAAGCCTTAAACCCTATGCCCCAAACCCTAATCCCTAAACCCTGTACCCCGAAACCCTAAACCGTAAACCCCATACCCCATTGCCATAATGCCCCGAACGCTGAAGCCCAAAGCCTTTACACTTCCCCGGGAAACCCGTTTCAAGCCTTTAGGAACCCTTTGCTAATTAATTTACAAACAACATCATACATTATATCAAATGAGTAGTTCTCTAAATTAGGGTCCTTTTTTAGGCTTTTAGGTCCCCAGTATAGTACGGCTTATAAACAGGGACCCTAATTTAGAGAACTACCCGAATAGTACCATGCTTTAGCATATCAAATTGAATCTACGGCCCAAGGAAGGGCGTCGGAGTGCACCATGCCGGGCTGTTGCCTCGATACCGGTCCCCGACCCAGCGGTTTTTGCACATCCGGCGCACGGGCCTTCGCGTGAGGTTAGGGTTAAGCTCTAGGAGTTTTAGGTTTGCTTCGGCTTGGTCCCTAAACCCTAAACCCTAAACCGTAGGGTGTAGGGTTTCATGTCTTGGGCCTTACCTTGGTTTGGCTGTAAGGTTTTCGGATCGCAACGCTCAGGTGTGCGGTTCCAAATGATCTGGGCTCCAAGGTTTAACATCTATAGCTTACATAGAGGACTGAGGGTGGTGGCAACGAGGGTCTTTTTTGGGTGGGCCTTTTACAATCTAAACCCCCTAAACCCCCTAGCCCCCTAAACCCCTAAACCCCTAAACCCCAAACCCTAAACCCTAAACCCTACACCTGCCTTTTACAATCTAAACCCTAAACCCCCTAAACCCTAAACCCCAAACCCCAACTCTAAACCCTAAACCCTAAACCCTACACCCTACACCCTACACCCTAAACCCTAAACCCTAAACCCTGAACCATAAACCGGATTCTTCTCAGGTCTGATGCCTTAGCATCTTCACCAACAGAAGATCCGGACGTCGGTTCTAGGGATACCGAAGAAGGCCCTAAGCTCCACTTGCCGAAAGCCCGATTCGGTTTAGGGTTTGGGTTTAGGATTTAGGGTTTAGGATTTAGGGTTTAGGGAAAGCCCTAAACCTGAGGCCCTAGTCCTTGTGCGTGTGCAGTAACCTTTACAGCAACCCTTATAGTAGTCCTGGTAGTCCTGCTAGCAAGCCCAACAACAGGATCTGCTTTTGAATTAAACCTTGTAGCAGCCCTTCCAGTAACCAGTCTGATTGCTTCGAGCTCTCTCATCTGGGGGTTTCCGAAAATAGGGGACCCTAATATAGTACCCTAAATAGTAGGATCCTTCTATAAGGACCCCAAACTAAGGTACCCCTTGTTTTCGGAAACTCCCATCTTGCAAAATTTGACAGGCGCTTGGTCGAACAATTGTCACAGGCACGCGTCGACCTATGGTTTAGGGTTCGAATTCTATGGTTTAGGGTTCGGGTTCTATGGTTTATGGTTTAGGGTTTAGGGTTCGGATTCTATGGTTTAGGGTTGCGAAAAGGTTGACCACATGGGGTCATATGGGGTTACTATACGGGAGGCTTACTGTCAAGGTGGCGATCGGGGCTCTCAGAGTGATGTCTGTAAGGTAAAAGACCTTAAACCCTATACCCTAAACCCTAATCCTAAAAGAGCCTGAAGAAGAAGAAGGAAGCCCCAAGCAAGCCCCACATCCACAGGGGTCTTCATTTGAGTCCTCAGTGTGGGCGCCTAGGCCCCTAAACCCTGAAGCTCTACACCGCAAACCGACTGAGTCCTTTACCAGGGTTCTGAAAAAGGTTGGCTTGTTGCTTGGTTTGGAGGTTTGTTTAGGCTTCAAGATCCTCCTGGGTTGCATGGTTGACAAGGTGGCTACTATAAGGGTTGCGAGAAGGGTCAGTATAAGGGGTACCCAGTAGAAGGGTTACTGGCAGGGGTTGTTACCACAGAAAGGGCTGTGGGTGATGGAAGCTGGTGTTTAGAAGCTCTTTGAGATGCTCCTCTAGAATCTCTACCATGCGGGCGAAAGGCTGGAAGGGCTAGAGTTCATTTGCTCAGAGGTTCTTTACGGTTTGTGGCTTAAGCAAGTTTTGGAGTGTAGGGTTCCTGAGACGGCTAGCCGATACTCAGCATGTTTAAAAAGTGCCCGCGGTGCAGGATGCATCAGACTGCCTGCAACATGAGTTGTGGATATTTCTCCCTAACAACATGCTTGACGGATCCGCCATCCAAGGCATCAGCTATAGGCTTAAGAACACTTCGAATGGGCTCTCTGCTCGCAATGCCGGATTCGGGCTTAGGCGACTCGAGGTTTGGAATTGGGGTTTTAGGTCAGCCCCCAAACCCGAAACCCCAAGCCCCAAGCCCTAAACCCTAAACCCCTCAATCCCTAAACCCCTAAACCCCTAAACCCCTAAACCCCTAAACCCTATCACTGCATCCTGAACCTAAACCTCACAGCCGAGACGCCTTAACCTCAAGTCCTCTGTCCCTCATATCCTCAGTGGTGAGCCTCCAAGCTCGGTGATCTAGAGTGAAGGGTTGGGGTTTAGGGTTTAGGGTTTGATGAGGTTTTGGGGTGTTAGGTTTAGGGTTTGATGAGGTTTTGGGGTGTTTGATGGGGTTTTTGGGGTTTAGGGTTTAGAGTTTGATTGGGGTTTTGGGGTTTAGGGTTTGATGGGGTTTTGGGGTTTAGGGTTTGATGGGGTTTTGGGGTTTTAGGGTTCAAGGTGCCCTAAACCTTAAATCCTAAATCCGAAGCCCCAAGCCTTAAACAAAACATATCCTGAAGTCTAGTCTAAACCCTTAAACCAACGAGCACCCGAAACGCTAGTTTAATTCCTAAACCTTTGAGCCCTCCTGCTGGGTCAGTGGAGGCCTCTTTGTTGGCTCTCGTCTGCGGAACTGACACACTCGGCGTGGGCTTTCGTCTCAGTGACCATCGCATGCGGAACCAGATCGTTGCTAGTTTGGTTGTTTGTTGTACCATTGTTGTAGAAAGATCAAGGCTACTCCACTACTACTACGACTACTACTACGACGACGACGACCACCACGACGACGACGACGACGACTACTACTACTACGAGGACGACTACTACTACTGCGGGGACGCCAGACGCCTGACCATACATATATACATACATATATATATATATTTGTCTATCCCTCTCTCTATCTACATAAAGATTTTCGATGTCAGCAGTCATATCTTACCTTTGTTCTTAGCATCTTGCTTCATGCAATCAGTGCGACTTCTGCCAGCTGCGCCAAGGCCACTCAGAGACGGGCTTTGGGCTTTCAGGGTGCGGGGCTCTAGGTTTTAATGCTTTAGGGTTTAGTGTTTAGGGTTTAGGGTTGAGGGTTTAGGGTTTAGGGTTGAGGATGATCTTTTGGTTCAGGGACTTGGGGATTGTGTGTGTGTGTGCGCGCGGGGTTTAGAAGGTTTAGAGGTCCCCAGCGAGGCCCAGGACCCCTTAATTAAGGAATATGCCTTAAATCATAATATCAAGGCCCCTATAACTTAAGGTATATTCCTTAATTCCCTTATGGAAACCCTCATAGATCCCCTTAAGGAACCCGTAACTTAAGGAATAGATTCCTTAATTAAGGGGGTATTTGGGCTCTCTGGGTCTTGCCGGAGCTGGAACGGCTTCAGGCAAGGTCGAGGCCGGTGCCTAGGACCAAATGCCCGTGTAGTGAGATGATTGTTTAGTAGAAGAGAGTCTTAGTAGCTGAGTAGGTAACCTTTAACCTTTTTGGGCCTATATAATCCTACCACAATTGAAAGGTTAACCTTTTTTGGGCTAGGGTACTCAGCCCCTGAGGAGTAGAGTGGAGTAACGTAGAGTATAGTCTCACACAGGAAGGTAAGCTATAGTCATGTCATGTCATGCCATGTCATGTTATGTTAATGTTACTCTTCATCTTAATATTAATGTTATTGTTAATGTTAATGCCAATGTTAATGTTAATGTTAAGATTCATGTTATGTTAGGTGTTGTTATGTTAATGTTTTATGTTAATCTTGACCTTTATCTTAGTGCTAATGCTAATGCTAATGCTAACGCTATGTTATGTTCTATTCCATGTGATACTATATCAGATTTTATTATTAAGTGTAATGCCGAGGCGTCAACGTCCCAATTCGGAGTGTCCTCTTCACGAGGTCCGCTGCGCAGCCAGATGATGCACAGATACCATAAGGGTTGCTAAGCTTGCCAGGAGAGAGACTGTAAGAGCTGTAAAGAAATACAGGTAATTGGGGTTCATGTTGGCTCTTTCCGATTGAAACCCAGCATTGCGGGGCCGTGCATTCTCAAGCAGTTTGAGCCCATTTCTGCCTGTTGCGGCCGGCTGTGATGAACCATCTCCAGCCGAGCACTGCTGGAGTCCTCCACACCCGCCGAAGCCCACAGTAGGCCATGGCGGTGCGATGCGAAGTGCAAATTCTGGTGCTGGCCTCCTTCGTGGTCAAGGCGACCTGTCTTGGGCTGAAGTTCTCCTTCGGGCAGCTCTTTGCAGCACTCAAATCCCAAACGGGCGAGTCTGCAGGGACCCTGGCGCTCATAGGTTCCTCCCGCGACTTCGTCTTCCACCTCAGCAACTTGGTTCTCATATTCCCAAGCTTGGAAACATCTTTTGGGTTCTATACCTCAATGTTATTCTCCAAGTTTAGGAACCCTCAAGCTTAAGCCCAAAGTCCTAAGCCCTGAAGCCTCTTGCTTTTCCTTGTACTTGTTTCCTTCGCCCCAAACCCTAAGCCCTAAACCCTATACCGACGCCCTTTTCAGATTCGAATCTTCCTGTGGAGGCTGAGTGCGAGTAGTACCCTTGAGAGAAAACCTCTATAGGGTTTAGGGTTTAGGGTATTGCAGCCATGAGTGAAGTGAGGCAACATGATCGCGGGCTTCGCAGTGCGGAAGCTGGGTTACCTGCGGATGATGTCCGCCGGACTTCTTTCTCTCGTTGCCAGCCTGCTCCTGGACAGCCGCTTATTTCCAGTTATGGGGGGTTTCAAGAACCAGGGTGCCTCAGAGAGGGGTCCTCAAAATCCAGGGGTGCTTTGTCAGGGCCTGTTGTTTACTAAACCCTAAACCCTAAACCCAAAGAAACTTCCCTTTTAACATGGGCCTGACCTGAATTGCCAGAAAGATCCTCCAGGTTCCCCCGAGTCTATTCATTCTACAGAGTCATGGCCCCTATATTTGGAGCTGCCTCCATGCAGTCGTAGAACAAAAACCCTAAACCCTCAACCCCTAAACTTAAAACCTAAACCGCTAAGCCCCTAAACCCCTAAACCCTGAACCCCTGAACCCTAAAGCCAGCGTGAACCCTAAGCTTTATTTCCCGGCCTTAAAGGTCCGACAAACCCCGAGGAAACCCGTACAAAGCCTGTTTAAAACGCCCCTTCACAAAAGCCTCGTATAGAAGCCTGATAGTATCCTTATATCGCCCTGATAGAGCTCTGAGCCGTAAACCCTATTCCCCAGCTCGAAACTTAGTCCCTAGACCTGAAACACCAAACCCTAGACCCCAAACCCACAAGCCAAAGCCCTAAACCCTAAAAGCCCAACTCTCAACCCCAAGCCCCAAACCCAACACCCCAAAGCCCTAAACCCCAAACCCAACACCCTAAAGCCCTCAACCCCAAAGCCTGAACCCCAAGAATCCGACGAGTCGAGGCATAGCTCCGGGGACTCGCTGGCTCTTCATCTCTTACAGCCTCCTCTCGGGCATCTCCTTGTCGATGCTCATCACCCCTGTGCCTTGGCAAGAGGATGGGTTAGGGTTTAGGGTTTAGGGGTTGGGGTTTAGGGGTTAGGATGTAGGGTTTAGGGTTTAGGGGTTGGGGTTTAGGGGTTAGGATGT